ATGACTGTCCTTCAGGTCAGAAAGAACATGATGCCGAGTTAGCTCATGCCAACTGTGTCTGTAGAAGTAGTAGGCATGGCCATACTGTAATACCCAGCCAGGCAGACTGACCCCTAAAATGAAAGGTACTTGAAGACACTAAAAAAAAAAAACATTACATTTTACAATAATTTAAGAACCTTACAAAACAGATTTAATAAGACACTGTGTCTCTGCAGCTCACAGATCTAGTCACGCTGCAAAACCACTATAAAAACGTTTTTTGTTTTTTTTTAAATGAAAGTGAGGGGAAATTTGCTCATCTCTTCCTCCCTGAGAAAAATAAAGATGTCTGTAACCATAAACACTGTTTTCTGTGTCAAAAAGAATAGTCACTATCAACTTATTCTAACTACATCTGTGGAGGAAGCAGGCATAGTCACACCACAAGTCTCTGCCAGGTAGAACAAAATCACTACAATGAAAGGCATTTGAGAACATTACAATAACTACCACAGTGTCCTTTTAGAATACTTCTTTTTTTGTACAGAAAAAAGACCCGCCCCACTCAGTGCAGGCAGATACACTTGTACAGTAAGTACACACACTGTATATATGAGGGAAGGAGCATTTGATTTGCAAAGCATAATTTTTGTCACTGAAGAACACTGCAAATCAAATAATCTGTCTCTTACTAGAAATTAAAACATCTTTGAATAAAATCAAGATTTAGTGACTATCAGTCATTGTTTTTTTCACCTTTTGATTTCACAGGAAATGCAGCCAACACCATTAGGTAGACCTATTTTCCGTCATAGATGAAAATCATTTAATTCTGAATGCACTAGTTTAGTAATCATTTCCCTCCTGTGGTGCCTTAGTAAACTAGATCTACTGAGTTGAGTGGGTATATAGTTTCTCAAGTTTTTTTTTTCACTGTGCGTATGTTTCACATTTATCTGTGTTTTTCTATGTATTTATATATGTGCCTGTTTTTTCTATTTTTTTCTATTTGAGTCAATGTTTTTTTCTTTAATGTGGTTGATTTTTTTATGTGGGTTTAAATATGTCTATTTTTTTTTAGGTTTCTTTATATGTTTTTGGTTTTCTGCATGTTTTATATGGAATTCATTCACCAAACTTTGAATTGTGATTTTAAAGTAAAGGTGCAAATGTCCAATCTCTGACTATGAATAAGTTGGTGAATTACATAGTTTGGTCTACATTTTTCAAATCAGATTTAATTCACAACTCAGTGTTGTCCAGTGTTCTTTTCTTTGTATGCAGGGAGAGAGTAGCACCTGAGGAGATTGTCGAATGATGATACATATGTAAAAGAGAACTTAAAAGAATTGCCAAATATAGTTTAGTCTCTAGTATAAATTTGTTAGAAATAAAAAATAAAACAGCTCTTATAGTCTATAACTAGGAGTAGCTCTACTTTATCTGGGCAGTATAATCCGAAACTTGGGATGCCTTTTGTGATCTTAGCTTCAATGGTAAATATTACAGGGAGTATGAAAGATAAACAGAAGAAAGAATCCAAATTGAATGTAGCATATCAGAGTACAGGGATAACATCAAATGTAGAAGTGAAAATTCACTCACAGATTTTAGAGTCCTCAACTGGCTCTCAAAATGCAACATCAAGTTGTATAATCCCTACTTAAGGATCTTGCATGTTGATGGTAAATACAGCAATATAATTATGTAGATAAAAACTAAGAATAAAAATATAGTGCTCACTGTTAATATTGAAAACATAAAACAAATATTGGAGAGGAGCAAATATTGTCATGGAGCAAAATATCCATTTTGCTCAGTCCACAGGGCTCAGGTGGTATGTTCCCTACCAAAGTGCTCTAGCTCCAGGAGAAGAAACAGGATAAGTACAGGGATATTGTAAAGTAAACTCCTTTATGGACTCTTTCAAAAAGATAAAAAGGTAAAAGAACTATCATAGATCAATAACACTAACTAGTTTAATCTTCAGCAAGGCTTTATAAATGTGTTACACTCAACAGGGCATACACTGGTTATACTGAGAGCACAAATTCAAATAAAATGGTTATATAATATCATAGTCATGTGATTAAAATCAATTAACTTTAATGCATTTCAAAATAATATATTAAGCTCAATTAGTAAAATAACAGGTAATAGACCTAAAAAGGGTGTGGTCCAATGGATGCACACTGGGCATTATATAAATAAAAACAATGCTCCCCAAGATTACTAGTCTTGAAAAACACACATTAATCAATGTATTGTATGTAAAATACTAGGAATGTAAAAAAAAATTGTTGCTTTGTTTTTCAAATCTAGTTTCACACTTCTTATTGTCAAAGATTTTTTATAAATAATGCACTTTATTACAGAACATAATTACTGTTAATGTTAAAGTCTAATTTTAATTCAGAAGTATTGAAATTAGTTTTTTCTAATTTCAGTCTAAAAGGCAGCATCGTTTTTATTCTGTATGACTGTTGATTTGGTATAAAGAAGTTGCCTAATATTAATACTGTGCATATTTTATGTCTGTTGTCAGTGCAAAGCGCATTGGCAACAGACATAAAAATCTTCTTCCTTGCTGGTAGAGTGACTACAAGGGAAAGATAGTCTCCTTGTGGGTGTCCCTGTGGGTGTTACCTTCCGCTTCTCTCTATAACTTAAAAATGCTCTCTCCTTTATACCTCCCCCTCCCTTCACCAGCTTAGCTTATGCGCATGCATTCTTCATCCACACTTATCCAATCAACAAATCTTGTTAAATGTTCCTCACAGGTTGCATGCATCGAATGTGCCATTCAGTCATTTGACTTGATTCTGCATAGCAAAATTCTTTTGTGGATTTAAGTATATCCACTATAGTTCATTGAGAAATAAATGTAACTGAGATTTTGTTCATGCTTAATTGTTTTACATATACATATATATATATATATATATATATATATATATATACACACATTAACTTTTAAATTTTACGCTATGTATATTTGTTCAAGACTTTATGGTACCTTATTATAATTAAGCATGCTATGTATGTTAGAACCACTTCGTGTCAAAACTGGAAATAAAGAAATTTTGAGTTAAGCATTATATTGCTCGCAGAAATAATGCTCTTTGTAATTGCAAAGATAATTTTAGAATTAACGACATCAGAGTATGGAATCTCTGATCTTGTCATTTATTTTTTATGTTGTAACCAATTTGTGTGAAAACTAGAATTTTATGTTTGGTATTATATTGTTTGGATGTAAACTATCTTTTGGGAATATAAAGAAAAGTATATGTTTATAATCTAGATCACATAAGTGCCTCACGCCCTAGATATGTAATCAGGGGGTGTATATATTCAATCCCAATCCCCCAGACACTCTATCTTGAGAAAGCCCGAACTAACAGGTGAAACTCATAGATTGAGCTTGGCAGGAATTTCTATTTTGAATTTTGAGAGCGATCACAGTGGTACCTGAAAGTTGGTATTCCTGCAAGGGCATCGGTTAGAGTGCACAGGACCGGTCTTCAAAAGTTCATCAGCGGAGCGGTAACCATATACTTTTTGGTTAGTACACTGTATTGCACCAATGTTTATGTAGTGGCACTTAGAAATACGTTCCACTACGATATCTGGTAAGAGTTCTTCTTAGGGTTTTTTTTTTGTATAGGGAATGAAAAACTGTTACTGAGTTACACTATGTCAGTATCTTTTTTAATTAAAGGTTGGATACTAAGTTGCATCAGACGAGATTGACTTCAATCACAGAACATACAGACTATTGTGCAACTGTTATAATTCCCCAAACCATTTGGATATATCCTTCTATATATTAACATTGGAACTCTTACATTTTAAGTTAATTATAATATTATTACATTGTATGTTTTTTACTATATTCAGATAATAAGGGAATATCTGCTAAGTGCTTATACTAATTTTATTTAAATTCTTGTCTATATTATTTTTAAAACTTGGGATGGTTTTTATAGTATCTGGCAGCTATTGTTTATTTGTTGTATAGTGCCTTAGTGCACTTTTTTATCTACCTTTTTATCTATATTGCGCTCTCTTATCCTTTTAAAATAGAAATTAGGTTGCTGCCGCTCTAAGAGTTCATCCTTAGGTGCTGAATGTTTGTGTGAAATCATGTCTGATTCAGAATTGTTGGAGTCACCCAGATGACCTAATTTCAGTTCTTTTTGGGGTTGCAGGGGTGTTAAGTCCAGCCACTACAAAGCCGGCAATATGTCTATCTCTGTTTCTCCAATTCTTCTTCCCATTTGCTGTGTGTTTGGGTATACGAGGTCTGTCCGGAAAATGTCCAGCCATTGTAATATAACAAGAATTGTTGCATAGACCACAAATAGAAGACAGAGGATGTGTAGGACATGCTGAATCACTGGTAATCCCTTTAATCATGCAAATATTTGGACCAATAATTGGAAGTGAAACTTGATGTTTCAAACTGAGGGATGGACTTAGGATGTTAGTGAATCCTCCTATTTTTTGTAAAATCACTGGCACTGGTTTTAAAGAAATCAGAGTGAATACACTTATAGCCTCCTAGCACTATATTCTCTACAATAAGATGCATTGGTTATGCTACTTGTTTTTTTACAGTTCCAGAAGGGTATAATCTTATTCATGGAGTGAAGTCTCATTGTCTAAATAGGATGTTATTATTAAAAACAGACTTGAAAATTTGTTTTGTTATGAATTGCAATTTGTCTGAACCTGGGCTAATCAGGTGATCATATGAATTCCTAAATTCTGAACTTCCATTTAGATTAATCACAAAACAAAGTACTTACACAATGAATAAGTATGTTTATATTGTGTTCGTGATTCCAAATTCTGCCTGTGACACCATCAAAAGATTTGATTGATTGGCAATGAACTGTCATTAGCTGTTAATTTTATTCACAGGTCAAGTGAGATGTAACCAACAGAGGGAAAGCAATATTTTATATATATATATATATATATATGAGACAGAAAGGGGTATTTTTTATATACATCCCTACATGCTTATTAACCCTTAACAGGGAACACATATATATATATATATATTTTTTATATATATATATATATATATAAAAAATATATATATATATATGTGTTCCCTGTTAAGGGTTAATAAGCATGTAGGGATGTATATAAAAAATACCCCTTTCTGTCTCATTAGAGATATCTTTGCCAGAAGCTCAAGGAAGCAAGGTGAATGGTTAGAGTTAGGACCCATTTAAGAGGTCTGCCTTGATGTGGCAGGTGGGCATACCCTCTCATGACCATTGGAGGTAACTAAAAACCTCCATTTGTTTCAGTATACTTAGGGATTTGGGAAAGAGCGCAGGTAACTTTTTTCTTTGGTTTTCACATTATATATCTGTTTACAGTATGTAAAAAATGTAATGCACAAAGCATACTATAATCATTAGACTAATGTAACTGTATATGGACTTGATGTACAATTAATTATTGGTTTATTAACCTAAATGAATTCACAACTTATAAAATGCAGGCCACTAATTTCTAGCTATTAGAAAGGCAATATGAAACCAAAACAAAATGTGTATATTTATTTAGCAAGCAATGAAGTTATAGTTAGGTTTGTAAGTAGGTGATATCTATGAGTTATCTTTCAGTTTTTCCTTTGACCCACTGACATGTGTTGTATAGATAAATGCTTAAGTATCAATATTTCTGCAAACTCATTTACTTGGATGGATTTTCTATGCAGCAAACTTATTTTGAAAATGAATGCCCTTGACTTTTGCAATGGCCTTCCATTCCTCTTGAGCACTGAGTGTCTCATATTTCCCTCCCCATACTGGATTTATTGCTTCATTACCACAAATTCTATTTTTACTACTAACACATTTTGCAAACAGGAAAAAATTAAGCCACACACCAGACCTCAGCATCTCTTAGTTTTAAGGGCAGTTCTTTATGACCTTCAATAACATAATTTAGAAAAAAAGATGACTGAAATTGAATTAAAGACAGTTATAAAAGAACAGAAGAAAAATGAACGCACAATACAATTCAAATATTCTAAGAGAAACAAAACAAAGAGTGTATTCCAGATTATTGCAGGTTTGACTTCCATAAATAGAAGTGCAATATTTATGCAATTTTTAAACTTCATCACTGTAATTTATTTTGAAGATTCAGTGGCAGTGTTCAACAGTTGCAAGTAAGGGAACATCAGGGTAAAATACTGAGTTTGCGCAAGACAGCTGGTACTAACACCAGTACTGTATTTTAATGCTATTAATATTTTACAGACTGACAGAATGACAGTTCTGAGAGTGATCACTCTCTCTAAGTACTCTTCAGTTGGGCACCAGCACCTCATTGATGAGTCCCAAGAAAGAAATCTCAGGACTGTAATTTCAAAGTCACTTGGTCAAATTGCTAAAGGGAGGTTAGGGAGATTGAAATAAAATAATTAGACAGAGGAACACATTGGGGATATGGGTGCATTGGTTGTGGCACCGATATGAAGACATGGAATGGATATCTAAAATAATCTTGTATACAAGCATGAAATATGTATCCCAGCATAAAATATATATCCAAGTAGCACTGTTATATCTGAAAAATGTTTTTTTTTAGGTTTTATTTAATTTTCATATTTTATGTTTGCTTTGTGTATACTATAACTTGCAGTCACATGTCAGACATTATATGAGTGGATTATGTTCCTGGCAGGAGAGTTTGTTTTTATTTATGTTTTACATGTTTTAACCCCTTAAGGACTGGACTGTTTTTGCGATGTTGTACATTTGCGACCAGGCATATTTTTACACTTTTGTGGTGTTTGTGTTTGGCTGTAATTTTCCGCTTTCTCATTTACTGTTCCCATACAAATTATATATTGTTTTTTTCAGGACAAAAGGGGCTTTCTTTACATACCATTATTTATATAATCTCATGTATTTTAATTTTAAAAAAATACAAAAATATGATGAAAAATTGAAAAAAATACATGTTTTTTGACTTTTACTTGAAAAATCTTTTACTCATCTACAAAAGCGAATGAAAAAAACTGCTAAATAGATTCAAAATTTTGTCCTGAGTTTAAAAATACCTAGTGTTTACGTGCTTTTTTGCTTTTTTTTTGCATGTTATAGGGCTATAGGTACAAGTAGGATATTGCGGTTTCAAAACATACATTTTTAAAATTTATCAATAGTGACATTGTAACACTATTATCTGTCATAAATCTCTGAATAACACCCCACATGTACATATTTTTTTTAAAGTAGACAACCCAGGGTATTCAATATGGGGTATGTCCAGTCTTTTTTAGTAGCCACTTAGTCGAAAACACTGGCCAAAGTAAGCATTCATATTTGTTTGTGTGTGAAAAAAGTAAAAAAACTAAATTGAACGCTAATTTTGGCCAGTGTTTGTGACCAAGTGGTTACTAAAAAAGACTGGACATACCCCATTTGCAATACCTTGGGTTGTCTTCTTTTGCAAATGGTATGCCATCATGGGGGTAATTCTCATTCCTGGGCTACCATACGCTCTCAAAGGCAACGTAACCAACCTGGCCATTTTCAATGTAAAAATATTTGACCCATATATTTGACCTTGTAACTTTCAAAAATGCTATAAAACCTGTACATGGGGGGTACTGTTTTACTCGGGAGACATCGCTGAACACAAATATTAGTGTTTAAAAACTGGAAAACGTATCACAACAATTATATCATCAGTAAAAGTGCTGTTTGTGTGTGAAAAATGCAAAAAAAGTCACTTTCACTGACAATATCATCGCTGTGATATGTTTTACTGTTTTGAATCACTAATATTTGTGTTCAGCGAAGTCTCCCGAGTAAAACAGTACCCCCCATGTACAGGTTTTAGGGTGTCGTAGAACGTTACAGGGTAAAATACAGTGCTAGCAAATTAAATTCTCTGGAATTTCGGCCTGGGTTGGCAGGCAGGTCCCTCAAATTGCAATCAATAAAATTACTGAATTATGTAAAAATATTACATAAATACGCACGTAGAATTTAAATATATATGCATATTTATATATTTGAAGTCTATGTGTATATTTATATAATTATTTATGTAATTTTGTATATGGACATATGTATATTTCTTATTATTTTTATTTATTTTTATATACATAGATATATATACAAATTCATTCTAAGTGTATTTTGATATAAATATATATATATTAATTTTAAAATACAGTTAGAATAAAATTTCATATAGCTATATAATTTTTTTAAATTTTTTATTATTATTTAAAAAATTTTTATTTCATTTAAATTACTTATTATTTATATTTTATAATAATATATATATACAATATATCGTTATTATATATATTATATATATACGTGTGTAATTTAATTATAAGTGTATTTTTATATTAATATAAGTACATATTAATATAAAAATACACTTAGTATGGCATTATATATATGATATATAGACATATATTATATAAATATAATATATGTCTATATATCATATATACACCTATATAATTATTATTATTTTTTTAATTAACATTAACTTTATTTTTTTTTCTGATTTTACACTAGCAGGGAGACTGCCTGTCAGCACAGACAGTCCCCCTGCAGGCAGACACATGGACACCTATTGTGACCATGTGATCGCTGTGTTAAGCGATCACATGGCCACAGGGGTCCTAAATCAGTGTGGGGAGACTGTCTGAGCTGCAGCCAGTCTCCCCACAACCGGAGCCACGCTGATCGCCGCCGGGGGAACGACGGCGATCAGGTAAGTAACGGAAACCGTTAGGACGGTTCAGGACCGTCATCGGTCCGCAATGGGAAAATCCCGATGACGGTCCTGAACCGTCCTGGGTCGGGAAGGGGTTAATCATTTCTGGAGTATAAACATAGATAAGTGAGGCTTTATGTACTAAATTTAATTTAAAACCAAATTAAAGTAAGAAATTAGTATATATATTTTTTTTGATATACGCATTAATATTCATTGGGTGCCTGTGGAGTAATCACGTAAGAGTGAATAGTTTTTCTTACGTATATGCTGGCTCATGTATATTCAGTGCATATGACATTGCGAACAATACTGTTTTTATTTAATAAAACTCATAATAAAGAAAAATAATGTTTTATGATTTGAACGCTGCTGCTGGGATGAAAAACAAAACAAAAACAAAACCAACAGTATATAGGGGAACTTACATAATAACAAAGCTCAATTCTAAGTCTATGTTAATGGCTGTCAAGTCAATTTTGGCATTTTAAGTGAGTTCAGTAGAATGAAAGATGAGGTTTGCAAAGAGATAGGTGGAGTAAAAGTCCCTGAGAATAGTCTGGTGCTCATTCATCTTAAAACTTCACCAGCTACAACTGGACAAGGCTAAATGATTCAACACCCCCTTACATTTATCTGATACAGAAAACCAGACATATATATATATATAAACAAAAATTATGATATTAAACAATAACAAACTGTATTTACTAAGTTGCTGAATACAAAAAGTCTAAAGGGTCGTATAATCCAAAAAAGAAAGATAGATAGAAAGAAGATACTACCCCACCTCTCTTTCTTTGTTTTTCTGTACTTTTAACTTTGGTTCTCTTTTTTTGTATTATCTGTATCTTCAAGAAACACACAATATGTTTTATTTGGCACATAAAGATTTGCTAGTTTGAGAGTTGAGCAGACAATGCTACCAAGACAATACTAACTTGCTTTGTTGTGTACATTTGGCCACAGATGATTTTTGTGCATATTATTTTTTTACTAGCCCATTTGGGCATATAACTATGCTGGCTTTTTAATAAAAAGTATGAAGGATCTGTGTTTTAATAAAATAAAGTATAGAGAATGCCATAAATTCAACAAATAAGTAGCTTATTCTAGCTGTTGATATATTATCTATAAGTAGGTTGGAATTTAAGTAAAGAGAAAATACTAGAAGTCCTCTTTTTTTTATTTAACATATTTGTGTATAGTGATCTCTTAAGTCATTACCAATGCCACATTAAAGGGACACCATAGGCACCCAGACCACTTCTGCTTATTGCAGTGGTCTGGATGCAGTGTCCCAGGCCCCTAACCCTGCATTGGTAATTATTTCCGTTTTTAATAAACTGCAATAATTACCTGACAGGGTTAATTC